GTGAGAGCACACAAGGGAGGTGTGAGGATAGGTAAGACACCTAAAAAACTAGCTAGCATTTGTTGCCCTTAATGCAGAGAAACTAAAGCAGATACTTAAAGCAACTGAGGCCAATAGGAAAGGGGACCAGGAACTAGAGAAAAGGTTAGTCAGAAGAATTAACCTAGAAGGTAACACACGCACAGGAAATCAATGTGAGTCAATCCCTGTATAGCTATCCTTATCTCAACCAGCAAAAACCCTTGGTCCTTCCTATTATTGCTTATACTCTCTCTTCAACAAAACTAGAGATAAGGGCAAAATAGTTTCTGCCTAGTAGCTAGGGGTTGGGGAGGTAAGGGGGGGTAAGGAAGGGGTGGGGGGAAGGGGGGAGAAATGACCCAAACATTGTATGCACATATGAATAAAATAAATAAATAAATAAAAAGAGTCACAACAGGGCTTGGCCCTTTTTTTTTTTGGTAGTACTGGGGTTTGAACTCAGTGCTTCGTGCTTGCAAGGCAGATACTCTACCACTTGAGCCACAACTCCAGCAATCTTAACATTTTTCATGAGGAAGAATAAACTACTGAAGAATACTTAGAAAGATACAAACAGAACAGTGAAGATTGTTTCACCTAGATACAGGCTCACTGTGATCACATCAATATGATATGTCATAGCACGATAATAGTAGATCAAATACATAGAAATATATAAGAATTTAAAATGACGAATGCATTGATTCAAATCAGTGCAAAGACAACTGATAAATGGTACCATTGCAATAGCCTATTGATTTGGATGGAACTAAAGCTAACACACAAAAAATTAACAGACAAATCGAAGTCAAGATATAAAATGCAAAACAGTAAAAGTCTTGCAAGAAAATCTGGGAGGATATACAAACAACCTTAATGATTGGAAGACATTTTAAACCACCATCACCAACTCTAATGATGTGAAAACAAATATATATATAGTTGACTAAAAATTTAAAGCTTTTTTGGAAAATGTTATGAACAAAGGCACCTAACACACAATACATCTTGGGGAAAATCACAATATACATTTTTATACTTGCAATTATAAAAGGGCTTTCATAATTGAAAAATGAAAGCTCCAACAGAGAAATGGGCAAACCATACAACAAGTCAAATTCAGTAGATAAATCCAATAGCCAATAAACATTTTAAAAGATGCTCAATCTCATTAGAAATACAGAAAATTAAAGTAATGATGCAATATCACTCTACACCTATAAGATTAGCAATTAAAAAATAAGATAAAACCTTTTGCTGATGTAAGTGTGGAGAAGAACAATCTCATACATTGATGGTAGAGATGTATGAAGAGTTTTGGCTTTTTTGGAAATTAAAACAAAAACATTCCCTTTGTTCTAGCAAGATACCACCTGAGAATCTGTTCTATACAAATAAAAGCACTGGGAATAGGACTGTATATTCATGGTAGATCACTCATATAGGAGGGGGGAGGCCTTGGATTCCACCTCCAGCACCACCTAGTAAATAAATAAATAAATGCATCAATATATAATTACATCAGATATAGAGGCCAAACAAGTATAATAAGATGAATGTATTGTCCATGTACAATTATAGCATGGAATATTATATAAATATTAAAAAGAATAACTTAAAGCTATGCATTTTGACTTGGAAAGAATTCTACTAGGTGTTAATGAGTGGCAGTACTGGGATTTGAACTCATTGCCTCCCACTTGCTATATAGGCACTGTACCACTTGAGCCATGCCTCCCGCCCAATATCCCACTTTTGTAAAATAATGACCAAGAAAACCTTTATTGTGTGTTTGTGTGCATGTGACTATATATTGCCATCCTGGGGTTAACCTGGTTGGGATGGGCAAGAAGGTAGGTCTGAAGGGGCAGGAGATTGGGGGAGCCAAACAGAAAGAGAAAAAAGATTATAAAGTACTTATGAAGCGATTACATTTAGCATTTACATTAATATTATATTTGTATTGTGTTTAAAGTTTAATACACATTTAAAGAAAAGGAAACAAAATATAAAATAATTTCATCATTCAACTCAATAATGAAAAGTAGAGTAACAAAATGAAGCAAATGAATGTATGGATTAATTAAAGTAAAAACAGAAACTGATAGAATAGAAAGAAAAACAAAGAACTGATAAATCAGACAAAAAGATGGTTCTCTTTTTGTTTGTTTTTAGTGCTGGGGATTGAATTCAGGGTCTTGGAAGTATTATATTTAAGAGAGAGCCAGAGAGAGGGGGAAAAGGAAGGGGGAAGGAAGGGAGGAAGAGAAAAAGAGAGAGAATTGATAGCACAAGGAATGAAAAAGTAGCTAGAACTACAGAGAACAGTTTAACAAAATCACAGAATAGAGACTGTTATGTAACTCACATAGATAATATTGAAAAGGATAATTAATAATATAATGTCCTCAAATGCACCAGGACCCCCGAGATGAAAAGCTTCAAACCCATAGCTAATCTTATAGAAAACCACACCCATGCACATACCTGAGAACTAGAAACTAAACTCATGTGTAATATAGATTAGATATCATTGCCTTAATTTTCTCTATGGAAGTTCAGGGTAGGCCAACGGAAGTTTCATTCTCTCTCTTATGCTCCTTGTGCTTTACCTTCTCTCTACCTCACTCTCTAGATTCCAGAGTGGCAGCATGTGACAAAGAGAATCAACCGGCAAGACAGGACAAAGTATCAATTATTAGGTCAGATCGCTGAAAGGAAATGGCAAGTAGCATTTGTGCTAATGACACAGATGCATTCACATGATAACTGGAAATATTGGGGGGGGGCTTAACTAAGCATCCCTTGCCTCACATTTGCACCTTCCTCCAACCAGAGTCACATTCTCACAATGCTAGCACCTGATCAGAATTTAGAGAACATCTTTACCTTGTGTCCACGTGCAGCTCACCCAGCAGGTCACTTTGCATATAGTCCCAGGACATTTCCACAGCACCCAGGTAGTACCTTCTGGTAGCACTGAAGCTGAATCGCAAAAGGCACAGAAAGAAGCAGGTGGAGAGTTGTAATTGCATGGCTCTTATCGCTAGAAAACGATTAACTCGTCTCTAAAATATCTTTAACTTTCAGGAGCAAAAAGGTCAGTTTTCTGTGATTTAGTGAAAAGTCCTAAATATTCTGTGGAGTATTCTAGTGAATATTACTTGCTGACTGTGACAGCACCATTCACACTAAGCAGTTGTGAAAACTGCTTCCTTTTTTACAGTGGGAAGCAGCCACAGGAATAACTAGAATAGGAAAGGGGTGGCTGAGCTGAAACTTAACCCATTAACTTCTGAGAGCAATAGAGGTTAGCGAAATCTGATGTAAAATCAGAACCTTTTAGGAAAGGAACAGAGGGATGGGGAGGTCAAAGTGAAGATGTGCTTTAATTTGTACTCATATTCCTACTCTAAGTTTCTTCCTTAGTGGCAGCAATAAGAAAAGTTCTGGATGATGATTCTGGAATCCACTTGCGCAAGCAACAGTATCTAGTATCCTGTCTGGTGTGGTGATTCACACCTGTAATCCTAGCACTCAGGAGGCAGAGGCAGAAGGACTGAGAGTTTGAGGTCAGTCCCTGCTACATGGTGAGTGCCATGCCAGCCTGAGCTGCACAGTGAGATCCTAACTCAATATCCCCACAAAGAGTAACCAGTATCCTATTGGTCATTTGCTCTTACCCTTGCTTCAACACTATTTCTTCTACCTGAAACACATTTTCACTGTATATCTCTACGCACTTCCATTCCCAGGCCTTCTTTAAATCTTGGCTTGGATATTCTGTGTTCAATGAGCTTTGAAGATGAACCATCACAATTACATGGCAAAGTCTTTACCCTCGTGGCACTACAGATTCCCTCCTACCTTCATTTTTCTCCACAGTACTCATAACCACCCCACATTTATTTCATTTATTTTGAATTGTTTTTACCTGATGCCTTTTAGGTTGTTTACATTTGGCCCAGGTATAGGATATAACTCATTACATCAAATGGTAGCCATGTTGAGCTCAAGCAGAGACCCTTTTCAGGTTAACACGTATCATGGAGAGCGAAGGCTTTACCGAGGGCCTGAAAGTGTAGGAGCTAAGGAGAAGCAACTGGACCAAAATCATTATGAGAAATGTTATCATTGGTGAGTTGTCCTGCTTGGAAATAATCAGGAAGAAGCCTGTCTGATAAACATTTGCTGGGACCTCCTGTCGGCCAAGCACCAGGATGCAGAGATAACAGCTGGCAGTTGCTACACGGAAGAAACGGTTGTAAGTGCTTTGTAATACGATGGTATTGGTCTCTTCATTTTTTTGGGCAATGGAACCGAAGGACGGAGAAGTTAGGCAACTTGCTCATTGTCACACAGTTTTCAAGTGATAATCAAACATGTAATGGAGCACCAGAAAACATGCTGCTAATCAGTATACTTGCTACCCGTCCAATCCTCACAAATGAATAAAACTCGATTCTTGCCGTCTGGGAGTCACAGTGTAATGGGGAAGACAGAAAAGTAGACAGTTATCCTATAAAAAGATTGGTAAATTCCCGGCAGGGAACTTTACGCACACTGAATCCCTAGGACAGTGTTGTAAAACGGGTACAGATAAAGAAACGGAGGCACTGAGAGGTTAAATGGCTTGCCTAAGGCCACACCCACTTGTCCTAATCAGACACTGTCCTGGGCTCCAGGTGCACGGAAGTAAAAAATATAAACCGAGCGACAGTAAGTAGTAGTTACGAGTACATCGTTATTGTGAGTGCAATGTTTCTAAAATGTGTACAATGCTTTACCAGTAAAACAGTGCTGGAAATGTCTCAGGCGCTGACGCATGCTCAGCGCACACACGAACGAACACCACAAGCACGGTGGCGGTCACTAGGAGCCCACCAGCGGGGAGGCTTTCTGCGCAAGCGCACCTCCCTGCGCCTGGCGGGAGCCGAGCTTTGTGACGCAGCTGCTCTTGGGGGTGGGAAGCGGCCGCCGCGCGCCCGGCCCGCCCTCTTCCGCTGCCGCCGTGGGAATGGAAACATCTAGCCCACGTGCCGGAAGCCAGCTGGCGCTAGCAGCGACGCACTACTCCACGTCCTGCCGCGCGGATCTTCTGCGGATGTCCTCGCGAGACGAACTAGCCGAAATGGCCGCGTCCAGTCAAGGTAAGGGTGGGCGCTCACGCAAATGGCCGCGGGGAGCCGCCTTCTTGGGCTCTGAAAAGGTGAGGGCCCCTCGCTGGCCTGGCCTTACCGAGCTCCCCGGGGATCGCGAGTGCAGGGATGAGGAAGGCGCCTGGGACTCGCCCCTGACCCTGCCACTCCAGCGTCTGGCCAAGGTCACGCGCAGGGTTGAAACTGTCCCTGGATGTTGACTTCGGGGCGAGCCCACCCGGCCTTCCGGCGCCTCCCCCCAATTGCTGAAGCGGAGACATTCAGTCCCTGTTCTCGGAAGCGCTCTGGCTCCCTGACACTAGTTTATGTGTCTTTTTGCACGTTCATCACAAGCCCCTGACAGGCGTCATTTCCATTGGCGCCTTCTCACTACGTTATTGATAGTTTTGGAAAAACGAGCATGTATGAGATACTACAGGGAAATCGTTTGCTTAATCAGCGTAGTCCAAAAAAGAAGCCCTGTAATTCGTAGTGGGTCACTTGTTTTTTAAGTTATGCTGCTTACCCTACTTTGATCACGTTATATGTAATTCAGTAGTGGCACCATGAAAATTTGAGTTATATAAATACTATTAAATAATGTTAACAAAGGCAGTGAAAATACTCAAAACACATCGCTTCCTCATTATTCACCATGGTTTAGTCTTATCTGTGTCTTTTTTTATCTGGTAGAGGAAATACCATATTATGTATGGAGTGCTATTGTAGTTTTCTTCCCAACCCTTGTTTCACTGATGTCACAATTCAATGATGTCATGCTCTCCTTGAGTGAGTACACCATGGAAATTGGTATGCATCCTGCCCAAAGCCAGGTTCTTTAAACATTTAAAGGCACACCACTGAATTTACAGGACTCTTAAGGACTTGGAATGTGCAATGTGATCATTGCTTTCCTGCACAGCAGACTGCTGTCATTGACTTAGAATGTGTAGCTTGATCAGGTAATCGCATTCAGAAAATTGTAAAGAAGTTTTTGGTACACATGAATTTCTTAGTAATGATTATTGATTTCCTGGCCCGATAAACATTGCTCGGGTTCTTAGAGGTTTTTGATGAATGACTGAATGAAATTAGGTGAACCATATGATGCTCTGGTCTAACCCTGCCCAGACTGGCCTACAACTCTGATCCTCCTGCTTCAAGTGCTGGGATTAGAGGCTTGAGCCACAAACCCACTTTAATCCCCTCTCCCTTTTTTTGATTGCAGACACTTATTAAGCAGAGCAGTTTGTTAAAATTACATTTAGAAAACCCTTAAAACTCATATTTTCAGTGATAGTTTCTTCCTCAACATAATGATATTTTGTTGTTTTATTACCCACAAAGACATACAGGATCCAATTCCTCAGTCATCCTTATAGTGGTTCTGCTAAATTGCAGTCTGTCATCTCTCTCGAATTATTATTTTATGTATGATGTATGGTAGAGTTTACTTTCTTGTTCTAAATATGAATATCTAGTAGTTCTAACACTGTTTGTTAAGGTGCCTTCTCCCATTTTGAATGACCTTAGTACCTTATTAAAAAATCAAGTGATAATATGCATAAATCTATTTCTGGACTCTGTATTCTCTTCCACAGATACATTTGTGTGACCTTGGATTAATTCAACACTGTTGAATACCATAGCTTTATAGCAGGTCTTGAAATTCCTTAAACTTTCTTTTTTCCATAAGATTACTGTAGCCATTTGTTGCCTATTGTATTTTCCCAAATGAGTGCAGCAAAATCTGCCCTTCCACATGGTCTTTTTCAATGTGACTTTGTTACGTCTTCCACTAAGAGGTTGGGTCTTTTTTTCCTCTTCTTGAGTCTCATGGTAGCTGTGACAACTCCAGAAGAATTTGGTGGAAGAAACGCTGCATGGCTTCTGTGGCCAGGACTTAAATAGTGGTACAGCTTTTGTTCTTTCCTTCACTTGGACAGTCACCTCTTAAACCCAGCTACCATGCTGTAAGGAAGCTCAGTTTAATCCATGCAGAGAGGCAGCCTGTATGTGTGTGGAGAGTTTTCAGATGATTCTAGACCCTCGTCTGTAAGTTTTCCAGCTTAAGCCTCAGATATCACAGAACAGAAGCCTTAATGCTGTTGCTGAATTTCCCATCCACAGAATCTGAACGCAGGAAAAATGGTTTTGTGCCATGAACTTTGAGGGTAATTTGTGGTACAGCCATAGTGAATGGAACACTATTTTAGGTCCATTCCATGTAAATTTTAGAATTAGCTTGTTTATATAATTGACAAAAGCCCGATATTTTTTTTATTGTGATTGTATTGGATCTACAGATGAGAATGGAGAGAATGAATATCTTACACATACTGAATCTTGTGCAAGAGATGTGGCTCAGTGTCACTGTGCTTGCTTAACATGAAGCCCTAGTTTCCATCCCCAGCACCACAAAAAAAAAAGAATATTGAATTTAACAAAACATCGACATCTTATCCCTCTCCTTTAATTTAGATTCACTAATTTCTCTCTGTAGTGTTTGGAGTTTGCAGTGTAGCGGTCTTATTCATCTTTTTTAATATTCCAACACAATTTTTGCATTTAAAGCTATTTTGTTTTCCTGTTCATCATTTCTTTCAGTGTGTGTGTGTGTGTGTGTGTGTGTGTTGGTGATGAAACCCAGGACTTTGCTCATGTTAGACAAGTGCTCTACCACTGAACTACATTTCCTCCTCTGTCATTTCTAACACATGGAAATTCAATTGGCTGTTTTTTATATAGCCTATGGCTTTGATAATTCAGTTATTAGTTCTAGTAGTTTTCTTGTAGGGTATGTTATAGTAGGTGCCAATAAAGACTTTCATTAACTCTTTCAATCTCTTTGCATTTCATTTATTTTTCTTTTTTGCGCTACCTAGGATTTCCATCCAATACAATGTTTAATAAAAATATTGAGTAAATTTTGTGAGAAAAAGTGTTTCATATTTCACCATTAAGTATGATGTCAAAAGTTTCTTTTTTGTGGGGTGCTGGTGTCTCACATCTGTAATCCTACCTAGTTGGGAGGCAAAGATCAGGGATCAGGTTTGTGGTTCCAAGCCAGCCTGGGCACATAGTTCATGACCCCATATCTTGAAGATACCCAACACAAAACAGGGCTGGTGGAGTGGCTCAAGTGGTAGAACTCCTTCCTAGTAAGCATGAGACCTTGAGTTCAAACCCCAGTACCATCCCCCCAGAAAAGTATGTTTTTCTTAGATGTTCTTTGATTGAGGAAGTTTCCTTCTGTTCCTATTTTCTAATTTTCATTCTGCTTTTTTCCTTTGACCTACAGATTATTTAGAAATCTATTTTTTAATTTCTGTATATATTTTATATTTTAAGCTTCACAAAATCACTCCTGTTTTCTACAGTTGGTATTTATTTACATTTATACGCCTGCTTACTCAATTCAGCTTACATTAGCATCTTGGTTACCTCTGGATTCTGCTTTTCTTTTCTTTAAAAAATCTTCTCTAATATGGCTTTTCATCTTTGCCTGAATAGTAGTCATTTTTTAGTGTATTTTCAAGTGTGAGAAAGGATCATATAAACTACCTGCCAAACATAGGTGATGAATGGGGGTCATTTTTATAGTAAACAACACGGAGTACTAAATTGCTGGAATTTGCACTTGTTTCAGTGCATGCTTCCAGGGAAGTAGGACTGGGTGTGGTAAGTAAACCTGAGGTGATCTTCCTACAGAAAAAAGGATTAGACAGTTTTTTAGTTATTTTTCCCTTCTTGGGCAAATCACCACACCTTCAAATCTTTGTTTCTTGATTATAAAATAAGGTTAATAATAAGAAGTACCTACCTTGTTCAATGTATTTAATTAGATATACACGTGTGTTACTTAGCATGTTACCTGCTAAACAGTAAGAGCTCAAACATTACGCGCTATCTTTATTATCACTAGAGATAATACTGGAGATAGTACTGAGAATTTGTTTGGTCTACTGAAGAGGCAAATGAAAATCTGTTTCATTTATAATGCTTTTATTAATCATTATTTGTGAGTTTTCCTGGGTTCTTTTGATTGTTTTTAAATTTGAGAGGACAAACTAGAGGACTGAGTCTGGATTTTGCAGGTATTTTTCTTTAATACAGACATTACTATGTGTTGATTTTAATCTGATTTTCCAAAAGTACACATTAGAATTTTACAGTTAACTATTTAAAATAGAATGATAGTTGGATATTCTGTATTATATCTTTAAAAATCTCTTACTCTAAGGGATGGTAGTAATATATTATAAATGTAGATATTTTATTATTTAGTATCTTAATTCTTACAGGAAACTTTGAGGGAAATTTTGAGCCATTGGACCTTGCAGAATTTGCTAAAAAGCAACCATGGTGGCGCAAGCTGTTCGGGCAGGAATCTGGGCCGTCAGTCGAAAAGTATAGTGTGGCTACTCAGCTGTTAATTGGTGGTGTCACTGGATGGTAAGTGATGTGAATGATATCCAGTGTTTTTTGTGCATGACTTACAGTGTGGTTATAGGAAATACCTTTTTCAATTAAGAAAAATACACTGATTTTGGTGAAAATGGTCATCTTAAATGTGTGGCATTTATTTCAACATTTAAACATGTAAGAGTACGATTTGATGGTTACATATCGTGCTTACTACGTCCCAGGTGCAGTTTCAAGTGTTTATATAGATCTCTTATTGCTTTCTCACAGCAGCTCTGAAATCGGTACTGTTATTATGTATACTCATTTTATAGAAATTGAGGCTCAGAGAGGTTAACTTGCCCAAGGCCACATAGCTAGTAAGTGGTGGAATAAGAAGCTAGTCACTGATTACTTATGTTAGATGTTAATTTATGACACAGCTTATAGTTTCATTTGTAATATGTTAAAATGTTAATAGCAAGTTTAGAAATTCAGAAATTCTTTACATGTGAAAAATCTTATTAACACAAATATAGGGCTAGAAAGTAAACTATGTAACAACTGCTCAGATTAAAGAATGTGACTAGCACCCAAAAACTCTAAAAGTTAAGACATTATTTCCTTACTTTTCTTTATAGTTCTACCAGCTCCATCCCTAAATAATACACTGCAATTTGACTAGTTTTAAACTTTGAGTAAATTCTTTTTTGTTCAACTTGATGTTTTGTATATTCAATCATGTTGTAAGTAGCTGTAGTTTTTTTCATTTTCCTTTGTATTTAGAATTCCATTGTATGAATTTGACATAATATTTTTATCCGGTTGGTGACTGGAATTTGACTTGTTCAGTGTCAACATGAACACTTTCGTACAAATTTCCCAGTGTATGTGCAGGCATTTCTATAGCATGTGTTCCTAGTAATTGCCAGGTTATGGGGTATGAGTATCTTCAGCTTCACTAGGTCATGTCAGGCTGCTTTCTTTTTTTTTTTTTTTTTTTTTTTCATTTTTCTTTTATTATTCATATGTGCATACAAGGCTTGGTTCATTTCTCCCCCCTGCCCCCACCCCCTCCCTTACCACCCACTCCGCCCCCTCCCGCTCCCCCCCTCAATACCCAGCAGAAACTATTTTGCCCTTATCTCTAATTTTGTTGTAGAGAGAGTATAAGCAATAATAGGAAGGAACAAGGGGTTTTGCTGGTTGAGATAAGGATAGCTATACAGGGCATTGACTCACATTGATTTCCTGTGTGTGGGTGTTACCTTCTAGGTTAATTCTTTTTGATCTAACCTTTTCTCTAGTTCCTGGTCCCCTTTTCCTATTGGCCTCAGTTGCTTTAAGGTATCTGCTTTAGTTTCTCTGCGTTAAGGGCAACAAATGCTAGCTAGTTTTTTAGGTGTCTTACCTATCCTCACCCCTCCCTTGTGTGCTCTCGCTTTTATCATGTGCTCATAGTCCAATCCCCTTGTTGTGTTTGCCCTTGATCTAATGTCCACATATGAGGGAGAACATACGATTTTTGGTCTTTTGAGCCAGGCTAACCTCACTCAGAATGATGTTCTCCAATTCCATCCATTTACCAGCGAATGATAACATTTCGTTCTTCTTCATGGCTGCATAAAATTCCATTGTGTATAGATACCACATTTTCTTAATCCATTCGTCAGTGCTGGGACATCTTGGCTGTTTCCATAACTTGGCTATTGTGAATAGTGTCAGGCTGCTTTCTAAAAGTGGTTTAACAGGCTACACTCCCAACAAAAGAACCAAGTGTTCCTGTTGATTTTCATTCTATCAAGCATTTGGTATTGCCAGACAACTTCTTGCCAGTCTGGTTGATTGTGGTTTATAAGTTGTCATTTTTTTCTCTTACTAAGTTTGATTGAGGTTTTTTATATATATTCTGAGTATCAGTCCTTTGTTGGTTGTAGCATTGTGGATATCTTAAATCATGATTTTATTGGCTTTATGGTACCTTTTGTTCAAGATCTTATTTTTAAATGTTGTCAATTTTATCTTTAATGGTTAGTGATTTTTAAAATGTTTTTTGGGGAGCTACATGGTATTGAGGTTTGAACTCGGCGTTATGCTTGCTAGGCAAACATTCTACCACTTCAGCTATACCTCCAACCCATGATTTCTTTTAAAATCTTATTTAAAGAATCTTTGCCTATTTCATGTTCTACAACTTTTATTGTTTTACCTTTCACATTGAAATTTATACTCTATCTGAAATTGCTTTTGTGTTTAGCAGAGTCCTCTTTTAGTTTCTTTTCCCCATGTGGAATACCCAGCTGTCCCAACTTAATTTATTACAAAAGCTATCTTTCTCCTTAATACTCTGCTGTTTATATGTGCCTGTGTGTATCTGCTATCTTGTTCTTCAGGAATTTCTTGGCTATTTTCTTTCTTATTTTTAACACTTTTATACATAAATTGGCATATCATTAGCTGCTCATATTTAAAATATACAATTCAACAAGTTTTGACATATGCACATGCACATAAAACTGTTACAATTAAGATGATCTTATCTGTCACTAAAAGTGTCATTGTACCTCTTTATAATCCCCCTCTTCCCTTTCATGCCTCTGAACCACTGCTCTGCTTTTATGTTGCTATAGATAGCTGCATTTTCTAACATCTTTTATAAGCATACATTACTTTTGTCTGGTTTCATTCTCTCAACACAGTAATTTTGAGAATCCACATTTCTTTTTTGATATATCAACAGTTCATCCCTTTCCATTGCTGAGTAGTATTCCATTAGATGAATTTATTATGATTTGCTTATCCATTTACTTTTTATGGACATCTGGATTGTTTCTACTTTTTGGCTGTTGGAAAGGAAACTGCTATGGACATTTGTGTACAAGTTTTTGTATGAACATATGCTTTGAAATTCATTTGGTAAATTTAGCAGTTTTTTAAATGCCTGTGCCATGTTACATCTCTGTCAGTTTCTCTACATCCTCATTAATACTTGCAGGTTTTTATTAAAACCATCCTTGTGGGTATGGCGTGGTATCTCATTACAGTTTTAATTTGTATTTCTCTAATGATGTTGAACATTTTCATGGGCTTATTTTTGCCATCTATATATTTTTGGTGATTTGCCTGTTCAGATATTTTCCCCATATTTTTTATTGGGTCTCTGGCTTTCTCTCATTATTGACTTGTGAAAGTTCTTTATGTATTCTAGATACAAGTTTTATATGATTTGCAAATGTGATAAATATCATATATGTGATTTCAACTATAGTGTTAATCTAACATGTCTTTCAAAGAGCAGAGATTCTTAATCTTGAAGTGCAACTCTTTCTTTTATGCCTCCAGCTTTTGGTGTCATGTCTGAGAATATTTGCTTATTTCAGAGTCACTAAGATTTTTATTGTCTATATTTTTTTAGGTGGTATACAGATTTAGGTCTGTGATTCATTTTGATTTACCTTTATATATGGTGCAAACTAAGAATCCAAGTTCTTTTCTTTTTTGCATGTGGATATCTAGTTGTGCCCACATAATTTATTGAAAAGACTTTTCCCCACTGAATTTCCTTAATACCTCTAAGAAAAATCAGTTTACTTCCCCAGACACCAGCAGCTCATGCCTGTAATTCTAGCTACTTGGGAGGCTGAGATCTGAAGATAGTGGTTTGAGGCCAGCCCAGGCAATTAGTTCCGATACCCCATCTCAACCAATAGCTGGGTATGCTGGCAGGCATCTATAATTTCAAGCTACTCAGGAAGCTGAAATTGTAAGGTTCGCAGTTCTAGGCTAGCTTGAGCAAAAAAGTTTGCAAGATACCATCTCAATGGAAAAAAAGCTGGGTGTGCTGGCATGTGACTGTCATCTCAGCAACTGTGGGAAGCATAAAATAGGAATATTGTGGTCCAGGCCAGCCTGGACAAAAAGTGAAATCCTATCTCCAAAATAACCAGAATGAAAAGGGCTGGAGATAGGACTCTAATAGAGCATCTGCCTAGCAAGCACGAAGCCCTAAGTTTAAACTCCAGTACTGCAAAAAAAAAAAAAAAAAGTTTACTGTGTCTGTTCCAGGTCTCCTTATACTGTTAAATTGATCTATCTCATGCCAATATCACACTAGTCTGATCAGTATAACGCCATAATCTATGAAATTAGGTTGTGTTTCAACTTTATTCCTTATCAAAGCTATCTCGACTATTGTAGGTACTTAGCTTTTCCATATGAATTTTAAAATCAGCTTGTTGCCAGTTTCTATAAAAAAACTGGTAAGATCTTGAGTGCAATAACATTGATCCATAAACATTGGTATATCTCTCCATTTGTGTAGATTTTCTTTAGTTTCTCTAGCACATGTACATCTTGTTGGTATAACAAGAATATAGCAATATATATGAGATCAGTATAAATTCCTAAATGTCCTTAAGTATTTAATATGTTGATGCTACTGTGTTACTGCCTTTAAACTTTCATTTTCTGTTGTTTATTACTTAAATATAAAAATGCAGTTGATTTTTCTATATTTGGTGTTACATAATGCAGTCTTGCTAAAGTTTGATTAGATTGTAGAGTTTGGGGGTCTTTAAGACCATCCTCATATTTACTAATCCTCTAGGAGAATTTGCAGAATTCATAGGTTTCTAATAGGCAGCACATATAGATGGGTCTTACTTACTAAAATTGAATTTGACATTCTCTTTCTTTTGATTAGGATGTTTAGACTACTTACATTTAAAATTATTTTGTATCCTTGACCAATTCTTCCCAATCCCCTCAACCCCTCAGTCTCTGGTAACCATTTTACTGCTTTCTGTTTCCATGAACTCATCGTTTTTTACCCTTTATATGTGAGTGAGAGCCTATGATATTTTTCTTTGTATGCCTGACTTATTTCACTTAACACAATGCCTTCCAGTCTCATCCACATTGTTGCACATGACAGTATTCCCTTCTTTTAAAAGGTTCGATAGTATTCCTCTGTGTATATGTAGCACATTTCCTTTATATGTTCATCCACTGATGGACAGTTAGTTTGATTCCATACCTTGGCTAATGTGAATAGTTGCGATGAATGTGGGAGTCCAGGTGTCTGTTTGACATACTGGGTTTATTTCCATTTAGGCTATTTTATGATATAGCAAAGAATCTGGATCTTGGGACAGGACCAGAGCAGATACCATTTAAAGCTATCAAACTATATGAGAGCATCTAGAAAGTGAGCCAGTAGAGCAGTACCCATCATCAGTAATTATTAGGGAAATGCAAATCAAAAACACCATGAGATACCACCTTACCCAGTAAGAATAGCCAATATCAAAAAGACTAAATAGTTGCTGCTGAGAATGTGGAGAAAAGAGAACCCTTGCACTGTTGGTGGGGATGTGAATTGGTATGGCCATTATGGAAAATAGTATGGAGGTTCCTAAAAAAAGCTAAACATACAGCTAGCTTCCATATGATCCAGCAATCCCATTCTTGGGTATGGATCCAAAGGAAATAAAATCAGTATGTCAGGGACATGTACTGCCATGCTCATTGCAGCATTATTCACCATAGCCAAGAAATGGAAACAACATAAGTTGTTTGTCAGTTGATGGATAAAAAATATCCAAGTCAACCATAAAAAAAGAATCAAATTCTGCCATTAGTGATAAGATGGATGGAACTGGAGGTAATTAGGTTAAGTAAGCCAGGCACAGAAAGAAAAATACTGTATGATCTCATTGCAAAATCTAAAAAAAGTCAAATATACAGTGATAGTGAACAGTGATTACCAGGGGTGGGGTAAAGAAGAAGGAATGGAAAGACAGAGGAAATGTAGGACAAAGGATACAAACTAGCAGATACATAGGATGAACAAATCTAGAAATCTGATGTACAATCTAAGGACTAGAAGTAATAATAAATTTGGTTACATAATTGAATTTTGGCCACTCTTGTAACCAGAAAGTAACTATGTGAGATGATGCTACATACATTAATTTGCTTCACTATAGTAACCATTTTACTGTGTCTGTGTGTCACATGGATATGTAAACCTGATTATCTTTTTAAAAGAAAAATAATAAATTTGTGTCAGTAACTACTAGAAATCAAATGAAATGAAGGCCGAGAAGTTAACACTAGCTTTTGGCAAGGTGAAGATCAGCAGTAACCTTGATAATGATGGTTTCATTGAAGTCATGGTACAAAAGCCTACATGGAGTAGGTTTGAGAGAATTATTAAAATAATAGAGGCAGCAAATAGACAACCCATGAGCTGTTTTGTTGGAAAGAAGGACAGAGAAAAGGGAATGTAGCTGGAGAACAATAGTGGTCTAGGGAAGATTTTTTTTAGCAGTTGTTAATAGTTATAGCATATTTGTGTAAAACAGTGAACAAAACAAAATCTCTGCCCTCATGGAGTTTACATTTTAATGTAAGATGGGGATAGGAAGATAGATAATAAAGAAACAAATTACATAATTATATTTTACCCTCTGCCTTTATTCACTCCTTCATCTTTTGAAAATATAACCTGAGACTAGGCAGGCACTCTACCGCATGAGCCACTCTACCAGCCCTTTTTTGTGTTGAGTATTTTCTAGATAGGGTCTTGCAAACTATCTGCCTGGCACTGGCTTTGAACTGCCATCCTCCTGATCTCTGCCTCCTGAGTAGCTAGGATTACAGGTATGTACCTGTAGGCAGTGTCTGCCTACAACCTGAGACTGGGTTTGAACTCAGGGATTCAGGCTTGCAAAGCAGGCACTCTACTGCTTGAGACATGCCTCTAGTCCCAACCTGAAACTTCTAAGGTATGTGCTCAAGACCACAAAATTAGTAAGTGGTAGAACCAAGGTTTGATTTTATGTTTCTTTCGGGACTGGCTTTATGTTTCTGTAGGCAGAAAAGAAAGAGCTGGATCATCTCAAGTTAAGTAGGATAGGAACGTTGTCAGAATTACACGTTTGTGTACATCTAACAGTCTGTCAACTTGTCTGATACTGGTGTGGTATTTGCAGGTGCACTGGCTTCATATTCCAGAAGGTTGGAAAGTTGGCTGCAACAGCTGTGGGAGGTGGATTTTTTCTCCTTCAGGTCTGTATATGAAGTATTTATAAATGTTTGGAAATTCCATTTGTCCACTAAGGAATGTGTTATGAGGAATTGTAGTCCCAGGTGCCACACTAAAATAGCTTTTGCACTTGCTTTTGTATAGTATATTAAGTGCTAGTAACCATTTGAATAAAATTTTATGAATTACAAGTCACATTTTATTTCCTCATTATAACATGGGGGCAGAAGTACCTTATTTCTTCTCATTTGTCCCCTAAGAACTGGCAAACTATTACACAAAGATGATTTCAAAAATACATAACTTGACACAGGTGACCTATGGTATGATTTATTCTCATATGCTAATGTATCCAGCTTTTACACTGGGGATATCGAGCTGTATCATTAGTCTGTAGTTGATAGTTTAGAACAGTGGGTTCTAAATTAGTGGGTTCTCTGAGACTAGCGAAAGAAACAGGGAACAGCTTCTTCCAAAACAAATGTACATCTGTGATTCTATTTTATTTCTAGAAACCATATAACTTTAATCACTCTTGTGTATGGTATATATTTGAAAACTATTTGTTCTAACTCACACTGGTGTGCTGAAATGCATTTGATTTTTATGTTGCTTTTACAGCCAGCCACCTTCCTAACATCTTTTATTTCTGATTTGTCTGGGATTCTTTTGGGATTTTTAAAATCATACCAACTGAACAATGATATTTTTTCCTTTACAATCTCTATGAATTTAATTATTTTTTCTCATCAAGCTGTAGATCATTCACTTCTTATATTGGCTTTCTAGCCAATGTTTGCAGCTCAGTGTTCTGCTTTCAATCACTGTGGGGCAGCATCACTTAAGGGTAATTGCTGGGAACCAAAAGCCAAAGTCTGACAAGGTCGCTGTGGCTCAGCAGCATTCCAACAAAGTTGGAATCTGCAGGTGCACCATGTCTCTATCACAGTGGGAAGGAACGCTAAATGGTTTCCCTTGACTGAAAAGAAGTTTATACTTAGTCAAGGACACTGGCAGTAAAAATATAGGATGGCAAAAACAGGTTGTGGCTAGCTCAGAGTGTTTTGATGTTTAAGTCTCTTCCTCTTTTCTATAAAGCTTGCTGAGAAAAATAAAACTTTGCCAGTTGGTCATCAGCCTGCTGGCCCTCTCGCCATGTGTTTTGTCATTCATTCCCTTCCTGAGTGAGTGAGTCCTTTCATATGTCCTGTCTTGTTCATTCCTTTCTTGAGCACTTTTGGGTCAAGGACCTCTGTGATCCCGGCAGGTAATGTGTCTTTTTTCAGTGTATTGCCTCTGAGCTCCATATTCAACTCCCTGTTTTGCTCTAATGAACTGGACTCCAGCATTTCTTCTTTACAACAAGGAACATGATGCTAAGTTTTCTCAGTAGAGACATTTCTTTTCCCAGTTCTGGTGTTCTACATTTTGCTTTTTTTTTTTTTCTGGCAGTGATGCCAGTGGAGCGCAGAAAGTCACCTCGCATATCTGGCTTGGGCTTTATAGAGCATTTTACCACCACCAGTACTGCTTTTGCACTTTTGTAAAAAAATTAGTTTTTTGTATTTGTGTGGGTCTGTTTCTATTCTGTTAATCTGTGTGCCTATATCTTCTTCAATACTGCATTGTCTTGACTGCTGTAACATCATAGTAAATCTTAAAGTCAAGATCCTTCCAACTCTGTTTTTTTTTCAAAAGTTTTTAGGCAATTTGAGTTCCTTTGCCTTTCTATATGAATGTTAAAACCTGCTTCTTTATATATTTGTACAAAAATCCTGGAGACACTTAATTTTGCACATCATTTCAATATTGAGTCCTCCATTCCATGTATACAACATGTCTCTCCATGTGTTTCAGTTGTTTCTGAGGTTTTTTTCCTTTGGCATTTTGTAATTTTCAGTGTATAGATCCTGTTTTTTTTTTTTTAGATTTACAACTAGTATTTAATTGTTTTTGCAGCTATTGTGCATCATTTTGGAATTTCCATTTCCAATTGTTCATATTAGTAACATATAGAAATTTAGTTGATTTTGTTTGTTGATCTTGTATCCCATGACTTTGGTAAATTCACTTTTTAAGTATAGGAGTTTTGGGGGCTTTTTGTTGTTGTATTCTTTGAGATTCTCTATGTAGACAGAGATGTATATGAATAGGAACACTTTGATTTCTTTTCTAATCTAGATGCCATACTTCTTTTTCTTGCCTTGTTATACCTCCTACAACTTTACTTTTGGCATGGTACTGAATAGGAATGGAAAAGGTGGACATCTTTACCTTGTTTCCAGCATTTATTCTTTCATCATTATGTACAGTGTGAATTGTAGGGGATTTTTTTTTTGGTAGATGTTCTTTACCAAGTTGAGGAAGTTCCCCTCTGTTCCTAGTTTACTGAGTTTTATCATGAGTGTGTATTAAATTTTGTCAGATGTTTTTTGTGTTCTGCTTTGAGAGTAGACCAGATGGTACTGCAGGGAAAATAGGAGACACACCACTACTTCAGTGGTGCTTTGAATTCATTCTGCTCTTCTCCAATCTACCTGCTGCTCTTTTCTTGTCAGAGACCTCAAATTGCTTTTCTTTGTATTCCATTGCTTTATTATTAGCATTCTGTGGGAGGAACTGGCTAAAGTAAGTGAACCAGAACCTTCACTCAGCATACAGTTTTTAATATTTAGCTGTGTTGCTGCTATAAATAGCTTTGTGATGAACTTGTGGGGTTATTTCCAGTTATTGACTATTATAAGTAAACCTACCATGACAAGAGCTGCATAATAGCTCTTGTCTGGATGTGGCATAATAGCTCATGCAGTTTCAGTGTTGGTCAGTAATATCAAATTATTCTCTCAAAAGGCTCCAGTTAACACTCAATAAGAACTTTTGTTATACAACAATGTGTATTTCCCTACATCCTCACCAACAGAATATTTTTGATGTTTTAATTTTCTCAAATCTGATAAAAAAATTACAGTGGCACATGATTTAAATTTACATTTCCTTGATTATTTGTGAAATTGAACATTTTTTTCCTTTTGGGGGTGGCAACTTTCTGAGAAACCATTAGTGTTTTGTTTATCATATACATTGCACATATTTTCTCCAGCCTGTTTGCAAACCAATTGCTTGGCGGTGACATAGGACCTTGCATGTAGGTTATGTGCTTAGTAGATGTTGAGTGAATGTCATCACCATACAAAGAACCAGAGAGCATACAATAAACAAATCAAATAATCATATTAAATTGGGCACTAAATGTAGCCACTGAGATATATAAACATTTAACCCACAACATTTTCAAAATGGCATTTTCCTCCTTCTCTTCCCCGTCTTTTCCTCTGTTCCTCTTATTTTCATGTTGTAAAAAATGCTATTCTCCACATAATCATTCAGGACAGAATCAAATTCCTCATCCCCTGTAACCACTCTGTCCTTAAATCCAGTCCACCAGCATTTCTCTTCTGGGTTGCTACTTTAGCCTCCTAACTGGAGTCTCTGAAAGGGTTTGACTAACTAGTTTATGATTTATCCTGACAAAAAGAAATAACAAACCTATGTTTCTCATTTCTTTTATCATTGTTATTGAAATTGTAGCTTGCAAACCATACTGGGTACATCAAAGTTGACTGGCAACGTGTAGAGAAGGACATGAAAAAAGCAAAAGAACAGTTGAAGATTCGTAAGAGCAATCAAATACCAACTGAGGTCAAGAGCAAAGCTGAGGAGGTGAGACTTATTTTGTTCATGTGCAGTATATGGGATTACTGTGTCACCACACCCAGCCCAAATAGGCATTTTATTAAAGCTAAGTAATTGAATTATTTGGTGACTTTTTGTCATTGAGTGAGAGTACAAACTGATATAGATAGTAATGCAGCTAACTGGTTCCTGTAGGAATGGGGGCTTTTTGTACACATAACTAGTAGGAATGTCTAGCTGAGGGGTTGGCAGACTTTTTTTGTAAAGGGTCATGTGGTAAATAATTTCAGTTTCGTGGGTTAATGACCCATTAACAGAGTGGCTGTATTGCAATAAAACTTCATTTAAAAACAAACACTGGTTAGATTTGACCTGTCAACTATAGTTTACTAACCTTTGATTTAGTACATGCAGTAAGGTTAGGTTATATTGGCTAGCATTGAAGGGACTGCTAATTTATTACCTTTAGAAATAGGTCAAATGTCCCCAAGAAATAAGTGCATTAAACTGGGGAAAAGAAATGAAGATCAGGGTGTCAAGAAGGTGGCTGGTACTTACTGTAGCCTAGAATCATGAAATTCTGCCTCTAGCTCCCTTCAGATTCACAGGAAAAGGGACAAATTTAGGGCAGATGGGGACAATACCCTCTATCTTGTTCCGGGTTCCCATCTCCTAAGTAGCTTTTCATGATAGGGTTAGAATTAATTTAAAAGATGAGTCAAAAACAGTCCTTGTCCTGGAGGCAGTCACACTGTAGTGTTCAACAGTTAAAGAAATGGTCATATAATCACATAGAATAAGTAGTAGTACATGAGGTACTTAGGTTAAACATGGCAGATAAAACCTATGCATTTATTTCTGCTTCCTTCTGAAATATTTCTGAATGATATTAACAAAATAAAAAAGGTTAAACTCATAAGGACCAAGAGAACAGAAAAGCAATACCAGTAGACAAAGAGATGTCAGCAAATTCTGAAAGTGGGAAAGCAAGTAGTTGAGTGGTAAATGATTTAGCAGAGTAGAAAAATACTGAACAGATGACCCAGCTTTGTCAGGTACATGATGACAGTCTCTGAATAAGTGACAAGCTGGTTAAAACTGGCACTTTTACCCAGAATGGGAAGGTAGCAAAGCTGGGCTTCTATGAGCCCATGTTCTGATTTGGGAAATGAAGATTAAGATGATAATCTTAATCAGTATTTGGCAACATGTTGATTTCAGTGAGAACAGCTTTAGTGGTGGAGTTAAAGGCCACACTACTGCCAGGCGCCAGTGGCTCAAGCCTGTAATCCTAGCTACTCAGGAGGCAGAGATCAGAAGAATCGAGGTTTGAAGCCAGCCTGGGCAAATAGCTCATGAGACCCTATCTCAAAAAACCCTTCACAAAAATGAACTGGTGGAGTGGCTCAAGGTGTAGGCCCTGAGTTCAAACCTTAGTACCACAAAAAAAAAAAATCCAAATTATCAAGTTGAGTAAGTAAGAAGTCAGAAAATAAAAATAAGTAAATACGAATATTTCAAGAAGTTGTAGCATTTTTTTTCTTTCCCTCTGGTGGTAGATAGCCAAAGTTAATGCTTCATTTAAGGAAATGTGGAGAGTTAGGGATAAGAGTAGAAGTGAGGCAGGAATGATCTAGGTATAGTGGGAGTGAAGGGACCCTGAAGGGTTTGGAAACTGCTTCAAGGAAGATAGGCTGGAAGTGATGGGGAATGCCAGAGTGTGAATGAGTGGCTTATGTGGTTGGCAGATGAAGTCCCTGTACTTGAGTTCAAGAAATTTGGCCAGGATGTTGTATGCGTTGTTCATATGAACACTTACTTTCTAAGGGAAATGGTCAGGAAATTTATAGAACACAGACAAAGGAGCCGTACAGGGTGCCCGAGTGTATGCTCTGAGTCCCAGGTGACCAAGAACTTCACATGAGAGTAGAGAAGAGGTGGGAAGCTTTGGGATTTAAGGAAATAGGGACCTTACCTCTTATTCATCAGTAATAGAAATAATGCCTGATACTAATAACATCCTTAGCAAAACAACCCATTGTGCTATATCTTCTGTTCTCAGATTGTGTCATTTGTGAAGAAGAATGTTCTAGTGACTGGAGGATTTTTTTGGAGGCTTTCTCCTCGGCATGGCATCCTAAGGAGTACAAGTTTACTTCCATAGTTCTGGTTTCTTCCAGCCAGCAGCCTCTACACTCCATCATAGGACACTGAGTCTGTCCGCTTCCTCCTCTTCTCCTGTGCCTTCCTCCCTGATATGGCAAATCTGAATGGCTTCCATAGGCATCTGGTGGTACAAGTTAATACAAGCCCTACATGAGCTTGTCAGTAATGGAAGAGACAGTAGACATTAGCTCTGCTTTTAGTACACTCCTCATTTGGCCAGTCTGTAGGTCAGATGTTCCTTTTCCCTTCATGTAAAATTCTTACCAGAACACATTGCAAGATGGTTCACTGTGGAAGATAATTGGATCCTCAAAGGTTATCCCAAATTCTTGTTTTGGAAAAAGAAGCACATAGTTACATTATGTGCTGCATGGAAAGGAACTGAATACATTTGCTGTTAAGCATGAAAGATTGTGGTATCTTCTTGTGTACTTTCTTTTTTAGTTAGTTTTTAGATTACAGAAAGAGAGCTCTTTATACTTACTGTAATTATCCTAACAAAAATCACAACATAAGTGAAAAAATCTGAATATGAAATGAACTTGCTAAAGATACCTGATGTGCTGAAGTATTGTGTTTGGTAGGAAGATCATTAGGCTATTCCCAGGTGATTTAGGTAAGAGAAGGAAAAGAAGCTCTTGGATTTTTATTTCATAGCAAAGAACTTATGCTTTGAAATGTGAAGTATTCTTCATGTCTGTCAAAATATTAGGGGCAGCTTTAGATCCTCTTTGGCAAATCTGTTTCTTTATCCAGTTAGTATAAAACACAGCATTTAAACCAGAATTTTAAAGAGGTAGAATTCCAGGAATTCAGAATTGAGAAAGATAATGATAGCACATGTGACATAAATTATTTCCATCAAGTGCAATCTTCTGTCTCATGGTGACCTCTAATTCTTTAAAATAAAAGCTTATGTGCAACACACACACACAGAATCTTAACACATTCTGCTATAATGATAACCTGTTACCATAATCTGCAGTCTCAACTACAATATGCAGCCCCAACAGGCCCTCATACTTAGTTCTGAGTATTTATTGTATATATGAATAATGACCTTGTATAAAGAAAACTCAACCATTAAAGGTTAGTTTTACTCAAACTTCATTCTTAAACTTGTAGATGGTCCCATGTGAAATATAGTGTATTTCTAAGGTCAAATTTTTAAAATTCTTGCCTTTTAACCTATATTGAGAATGATATATTGAATTTGAAAATTGAAACTACCAGTGGATGTATAGAACTTTATAGAGTTTTCCTATTTGCATTTCCTCGTTACCATTTGCATTTCCTCAGTACTATTCAAGTTATTTTCCTTACAATACATATGAATTATCCCAAAATCATAATAGTATAAGCCTGGGACATGTTTCCAACAAGAACTTAATAGGTTTTTTTTATGGAAAGTTCAAACATATTGAAGTAGAAAATATAGTACAACAGCTTCCCCCAAGTAGCTGTCAACTCACATATAGCAATCATAAAATTATAGCTATACTTACTTTATTGATTATTGTGAAACAACTTCCAGAGTCAGTTTATTGAATTTTAATATGTATTTACTGCAAAAAGGTAAGTACCCTTAAAAATCACAAATCATACCAAAAATTCACAATAATTCTTTAATATCAAATACCTAACCTGTGTTTTGCATTTAGTTTGAATCAAAATCCATACAGTCTGCCTTGCATTTTTTATACTTCCCTGCCTTCACAAAGAATCTTTGCTTTCCTCACCAGTAATCACAGGGAAAATAGATGGCCCAGGAGAGGCATTGAATGACCACTTTCCTGCACATACAACTCAAAGGGGGCGCTTTGGTTAGCTTCTGCTGCCACCATTCATTGGTGTGGGTAAGTTACAGATAGAGCTACACAGCTAAAGCCATGAGTGGTGAGAGACAGCAACACTTATGACTCCAAAATTTCCAGTCCTTAAAGCTCTGTATTCTCATTACTCAGGGGACCCCCAGCAGCCCCTTTGTCATTCTGATTATACGACTGCTCCATCCAAATGTGTCCTTGTTTGCCCCACTCACCACTCAGCCTTCTAATTTCATAACAGGGCAGGGGTTTCTTGACTCCCCACCTGTTCCACCACTTGGGTGAAAGCCCTTGCTGCTGGATCTGGGCACTTACTGTTTGTAGAATTCTGGAAAAAGACCAAATGAGATCTGGAGGATAGGATCCTAAGAGGAATAATGAATGCTTACATAGTTCTAACATGCTCTTAGGGTGGGTGCTTGTGGTTTCTTTTCTTGTGTGGTTCACTGTTAATGAACATCTTCTCCATCTTTTTGTTTGATGTTTGCCAGAGATACGGGCATTACTAATGGTGGAGCTCTTATTTGAAATCTCTGCTTTTGTACAGTTTGTGAAAATACCATAAATCTCTGCTTGAAAAAAAAGTTATAGGGATACATTTGAAGTTTCTGAGTACCATCAGTGTTTGGAATGATCTGTTTAATCTGTGAGAAAACTCTTCTAGCCACACCTGTAGGAAAGTTAGACCGCTGCACTCTCTACTCTCTCCACCAAATAATCAGCTTCATTTCTCCATTGTGACATGCAACATGACTTCTTGGAAATCAGAGCAACAACTAAAAAATGTTCTGTGCTCAACTAATCACTTATACACGGTTGGGGTGTGAACTCTTGGAACAGGGTAAAAAAGCTATTTTAGGCCTTAACTTGATTTCCCAGAAATCATAGTGTGGCTTATATCTGTGATGGATTTATTATTCTTAAGGGATCATGAATTTTAAGAAAAGTGTTTTTCTGGACTTTTTCCCTATTTTTTTTTTTGACAGGGTTTCCCTTTGTAGCTCAGGCTGGCCTCAATCTCCAGATCCTCCTGACACTAGAACAAGAATGTGTTCAAACCCAGGGAGGTTCCCAGAGGGCATGAACCTCAACCCAGAGTGCCAAGTTTGTGACATGGGATGCTATGTTTGTGGCCGAAATGCCAACCAAGTTTGTGATATTGTCACAGAAGAATTTAAGGACGAGTCTAGTTAGGTGAGAAGTTTATTGAAGTTTTACTTAGCAAAATATGAAAACAAGGAACAAAGCACATCCCAATCAGCTGGAGATGTGGGCACATGAGAATTGGGTGTTAAGTTCTTTGTGTAAGGCACATTTATAAAGCTCAAGTCAGTCTAAGGGAGTTTAGCTTTTAACTTTCCTCCAAATAAGCATACTCTTTATGCTCAGCATGTGGTACTACTCAAAACATTTTCCTGTTGTAAAATTTTGACATTATCACCTAAGCATGAAGATAGTGATCCTAGGGTGACCTTACTAATAAGGGTGTTTATGACATGGGTGTCTGTTTCTTATGGCTTTTATTGGCACTTTTGATTAAATGTCAAGCATCTTTAGGTCTTAAATATATCACTCATCTGGGGCAAGGTCAGAGAAACTATATCATATATTCCACTTAACAAAGAAAAAGAAATGTATGCAATCTTTATTTACAATGTTTAATTTTATAGTCATAACAACCTCCTCTGATTGTATCTTATGTTTGGAAATAATAAATTTGAGATTCCCATCACCAAGTCTCCTCAATTGACATATGTAATACATGTTTGAGGATCTGCCAGGTTCTTTCTTTTAAAAGATGTTTACTTAGGGCAGATAAACCCATTGTTAGAAGACAGTCTTCTTTAACAAGGCCCCCCTTTAGTCCAAGGATGAGCTTTACCAGATGTTTTTCTTGAGATATTTACCCAGAATGTACTTATCTAGAGCTCCAGGAAAATTATTAGTGCAAGGTTAAAGCATGGTCAGCTTCAATAGCCTGATAGGGAGTGAGAGATTTCAAGTTACCTATTAGTACAGTGTTGAGTCTTAACTCCTGGATCTTAGCTTACTTTGTATGTTTTTTTTCATGCCTTGAAGTTTAATTTGCTTTTGTTCTCATGTCTCAGTGTTCTTAATTTAGCCTGCCTCACTCCTGCCTTAGCCTCCCAAGTGCTGGGATTACAGGCATGCAACACCATGTCCTGGTAGAAAAGTATTTTTCTAAAGAAAAGTATTGTACTTTTTTCACATTTTCAACTTGCCACAACTGTCTACCTTTTTCAGTATTAAAATGTTAAGAAATAACATAATTACTGGGAGCAGTGGTTCTCATCCTTGCTTGTACATGGGAATGACATATGGCATCCTAAATACTGATGTGTGGGGTAGCCTGAAGTTTCAAAATGTCTCAAAATGCTAATGAGCAATCAAGACAGAACCATTGAAGTACAGAGTTGGAAGTGGTCCTAATTATAGTTCTGCTGTTAACAAGTGACTACTTAACAGGACTTTACAGTCTTTATTATTTTTTTTTGTCAGTACTAGGGCTTGAACTCAGGGCCTCCGCTTGCTAGGCAGGCACTCTACAACTTGAGGCACTCTGCCAGCCCTATTTTGTGTTGAGTATTTTTGAGAGTTCTCCAGGCTGGCTTTGAACCATGATCCTCCTGATCTCTGCCTCCTGAGTAGCTAGGATTATAGGCGTGAGCTTCCTGCGCCCAGTACTTTAGTCTTTAAATTAAATGCCATAAAATTTGAGATGCCTTCTGGATATGGAACATAAGTGTAATATTACAGTTTATTAAATTACAGTGCAAAGGAAGGGAGTTGTACTGTGGCAAAATGGAAGAGCAGGGACTTTTGTCATTAGTGGATATTAGGGTGATGGAATATTCATATATTGTAAAGTATCTCCCTAAAATGAATTTACCCTTTAAAAAGAGAAAATTACCTTCCTACCTAAAAGGGTTCTCAATCACTAACCAAGTGACTAAACTTAGCATCACTAATAGTTACTTAGAGGCTTTTTAATCTCTAAAATAGGGGATGTTACCTATTAAGAGTTTTCCTAGAGCCAGGCACTGGTGGCTTATGCCTGTAATCCTAGCTTCTTAGGAGGGTGAGATTGAGGATTGTGGTTTGAGCCCACTCTGGGCAAATAGTTCATGAAACCCTATCTTGAAAATATCCAACAAAAAAAAAGGGGGGGCTGGCAAAATGGCTCGGGCGGTAGAGCACCTGCCTAGCAAGCATGATGCCCTGAGTTCAAACTGTAGTACCACCAAAAAAAGTTTTCCTGAAGACTGAGTTGCACTGGTACTCTTGGTCCCTATCACAAAAAGCACTCTAAAGGTTATACCTTTCTGATGGCTATTTTATTTTTCTGTATGTCATAAGACAGTAAGATTTAAATCAATGTTTTCCAGTAGATCTGCTGACTTAAACTCAGCCAAGATGGTTTAAAGGAAGGTATGATTGAAGCTTTCAAAACTGTAAAGCAGTATACCTTTGGAGAAAAACATTTAAAACAGTGTGAAACTTGATTGATTAAATGAAAATAATTTTGTAAAAAATACTGAAACTATTTGATTTTGTAATCCTAATGCAAATCTTAGTAACACTATCAATTGGCAATTTTAATGTAATTTAGATTCATAGATAATATAAACTTTATAATTGTAAAATGCTTTATTAAATTATTTTACTATTAATGAGCATTCATTTAAATTATTTCGTGGGAACTTATTATTATGACCCTGGTTTGGGGAATCATGTCTCTAAGACAGCATTTCTTCCAAGTCTCTCTGACTTGACAGTCATCCAAAGAAATGCTTTTCTATAAAATGTGTTCACTTTGGCAATACTCCCTTCCAAAGAATCTTAATTTATGTTAATATTTGAAAAACTTTAATGTTTGACAAGAAACCTGTATACTTGTGTCTCACCTAGCATTCCTCAAATATGTAACCACAGAAGTCTTTTATTTCCTTGTTACAATTCCTAGAAAGACTTTGGGGGAATACTGCTTTAAAGAAAACAGTTGACCTCAAATAATAATGGTATTTGAACATCAAAGTCCTATCATAATTTTCTCCTGCTCTTAATCATCTTTTCTGAGGGAAGGGGTAATAGCATTTCTAACACACATTTGAAGAAAGCAAATGGCCAAAAAATAAGTGCTAGCTGCCAATAAGCTTCCTTCAGCAGCTTTATATTAATACCATCTGGATGTACTATAACAGCTTTGATTGTAAGGATATAAAGGATAGTTAGATCACCTAGTATTTTTCATTATGCTGCCTTTCTTTCTTCCAATTAAATTTTTCTCAGTTCCTTCACAATAAATTAGGAATCACTCAACATTGAAAGAGTCATTTATATATCTTTCCTACCACTGACTGAACAAATATTAAGCACATTCTGGCTGGCATTGCGAATTTAAAAGCAGAAAGAAATGCTTCTACTGGCACCTGGAAGGGTACTTTGCATTATTGGTATCCAATTAGGCTAAAGGAAGCTTTGAATTAATGTAGTCTATGAAAGGCATCATGATTGTGATGCTGGAGCATGAGTCCTTTCACCTATCATGCTTCATATGACTAAGTTTTATGAATGGCACTAGTGGTTTGAACTCAAAGTGTTAAAGAGAATTCATTCATAACTGTATCTAACAGTCTTAAAATACATAGTACCAAACCAAACATTTTCACTTAAAACAGGTTTATTTTAGCAGCTCAATTTTTATTACATTCTATGTCTTTTAATATATTTATCTCCTGCATTGGTGGTATATGCATTAACTCTTATAGTTGGCGTTTTAATTTGCTCTTCACTGCTACCTGGCCTGAAGAAAGTCAGAGTATAAATAAAACATGCTTGGTGAAAACATGGAACAGCATTTAGCTTCTTGGCAGAACTTTACTTTGATCCAGACTTGAATGTCAGGTTTTCTTCTTCTTTCTCAAATCCTGAACAGACAAGAGATCTTCCCTTGGGGTATCGAGCACAACACTTACGCAGTTCTTGGATGACAGCCTGACACTTTGATTCCATGTAGTTGTTGGCTGAAAAACAGGCACACCCTAGTTATGACCTCATGGGCTAAGAAGGTAAAGGAGGTTTATATCAGTATTTCTTACCCCTTTTTACTTTCAGTACCTAAATAACTGAGAAGAAGGAAGATATATCCAAGTCCAATGAATTATTTTTGACATACAGATCTGTCAAGATGCTATATTAGGAAGAAAAGGAAGATTTACAAAGTGGTTGAAAGCCACTTTTTAAATAAATAATTTCCTTTTAAGGTCAAGTGAATACCTTTTTCTAGTGCAGTGGTTTTTCATATTATTGGTTACTAATTCTTTTTAGTAATTTGATGAAATGGAAAAAATACATAACTCACATTATTTTACATAGTTTAAGCTGATTACTGGACCTCTTCTACCTATGTAGTCTGTGCATCAGGAACGGCAAACTGCAGCTTTTAGGATCGAATTCAGTTTTTTTTTTTTTTCACACATCTAGGAGCTAAGAGTGGTTTTGGATTTTGAAAAGGTAATAAACACAGGGGAAACCAGGTAAGATGACTGGACAGAAGTATTCTTCACGTGACTTAGAAGAGGCAGGGCAACAAAGGAGTAACTATACTCTGCAGAGAAAAAGAGAGGAAAAGTTCCAGGAACCCAGAGAGTACAGGCAGAAGAAACTGATTACATCCCTTACCATCTAAGGGACCTGTTGTTAAGGACTGAGCTACTCTATGGATCAGAAAACACAGAACAATCAATTCAGAGTCCCTTGCTACAGTGACTGGGTAGGAGAAGGCTATGAGACACAGTTGTGGGGAGAGGAAGGGTCTCTCACAAACCCTCTGAAAAGTTTTAAGAACTGGGGAGCATGGACTGTGGAAAGCACAGTGGTCAGTGACCCCACCCTTTGTGATGAGGAATGAGACCCTTCATGGTTTCCTGTACACCAATAATGAGCTCAGTGAGAATGAACTCACTGAGAAGAGTCAGGAAAACAATCCCCATTCACAATGGGGTCAAAAATTACCTAGGAATAAACCTACTCAAGGATGAGAAAGACCTCTCAAAAAAAAAAAAAAAAAAACAAATGGGATTACATCCAATTAAAAAGCTTCTGCACAGCAAAAGTGAAGAGACGGTCTACAGAATTAGAGAAAAACATTCATCTGATGGGGGATTAATCACCAGAATATATATGGAACTAAAATAATTAAACACCAAAGAACAAATAATTCAATAAATGGGCAAATGAATTAAACAGTTCTGAAAAGTAGTACAAATGGCTAATAGATACATGAAAAAATGTTCAATATCCTTAGTCATCGGGAAAATGCGGATCAAAATGACACCGAGCAGCTTTCTCAGAATGGCTGCCAGAAAACAACAAATGTTGGTGACAATGTGTGTATTGTGAGGGGGAGCCCTCATAATACTCTTGGTAGGAATGTAAATTGGTGCAGCCACTATGGAAATCAGTATGGAGGGTGGGGGGGAGGTAAATAAAAATAGACCTATGATATGATACAGCTATACCACTTCTGGGTATATACCTAAAGGCATCAAAAGTCAGTATACAATATAGATCAGATACCTGCACACCCACATTGACTATTCATAATAGCCAAGTCCATGGAATCAGCCTAGATGCCCATCAATGGATGAGTAAAGAAAATGTTGCATATATACCTAATAGAATATTAATCACTCATAAAGAAGGAAATTATGTTATTTGTAGGAAAATGAATGAAACTAAAGATTGTCATTTAAGTGAAATAGCCAAACTTAGATAATATCACATTTTCTCTCATGTATGGAATCTAGATTTAAAAAAGACATAGTAAAGGGTACTATTTGTGAAGAGGAATGGGACCAGTGGAAAGGGGGAGTGGGACAAGAAATGGTAATGTGGGCATGAATATGATCAAAATACCTTGTATATGTGTATGAAAATGTCATAATTAAACCCATTATTTTGTACAATTAATATATACTAATAAAAAATGAATTGTCAGCTGCAGTGAAGTCTAGGTTTTTATTTTGCCCAGACCTAAGTTTTTAAAACTCAAAGTGATTCTAATGTACAACCAAAATTGAGAACCCCTAGCTTAGATCATACCACTTTTTATATTCTATGTCTGATGATACAATGGGGAAAATCTTTAGAATAAGTTAATTATACAAATGTTACAGTCTGAAATGAGTTAACGTAAGTTGCCGATAGAAGAATAATTGATGTCTTATAACTAGTTCACAGATAAATTAAAAAAAAATTACTACCTTGTAAACATTTCTGTATTTCACAGGCTTGTTTCTGGCACAGATCCTTTTGCGGCATATCCGGAAAACTAAAATAAGAAAAATGATTAGATTATAATTTTGTTTTTGTTTTTACCAAAAGACTTTAAACCCCTCTATGTAGCATTTTCTTCTGGGAATAGTATACCCTTTAAATTGCTGGAAAATAATTACATTAAAAATAGTCTTTCTATTCATAGAATGAATTATATTTTTACAATATCCTTATTAAGTTTGGAAGATACAGCTTTGTATGAAAAAACTTAAATTCAATTTACCCATTTTGAATATTATAAACCAATGTTGGACTGACACTGTAGTCCAACATGCCAGGCCCACTTCCCAGCTCCATGATTCACAAAAAGAAACCCTTAGTAAGTAATTAAACTTCTCATTTTTCCTCACTACTTCTGTGGATGGGAATCATACCTACCTCAAAGCATTGATGGAAGGACTAAATGTGACCAAGTATATAAAGTGCATAGAATAGTGCCTGAGGCAGAAGGACCACTTCAGCCCAGGAGTTCAAGGTGAGCTTGGGCAACAAAGCAAAACTCCTCCATCTTAAAAACAAAAGAAAGCAACACTTGGGAATAATAGCTACTATGTATTATTCCCAAGTGTTGCCTCAGCCTCCATACAGGTATGTGCCACTACTCCCTGCCCAAGGCTTGTATTAAAACATAAAACCTTACTTTAACATATATAATAAACTGTTACAACTACTTTAACTCAGTAAATTCTTTATAGGCAGCACATGCTTTCCTTTCCTAGCAATCATCAATATTTGGTGCCATTACTTCCTGAGAAAGGTGCCAGTTAAGCAGTTAATATGGTTTTTTGAGCTTTTATGGAAACTAGCTTATTTTAAATATCTGTAACCAGAGAAGGAATTTAAATGCCCACAGTTTTGATCAGCAACTTCTCACAATTTGAAAATACAATTTCAGAAAGGTGGCCTAGGAGTCTTTGTAGCTAATTTCATCAATGCAAAATAACCTTTTTTCCCCCAGAACTCCTTAAGTTCTCAGTAGATCGAAATTAGGTCAGTACTGGGATGGGAAACACTAGAACAAAACCTAGGATATTTACAGGATGGGAGAAGGAAAGACAGGTGAATTTGCTGCAGGGCAAATAAGCGACAAATAGATGTTGATGCTGCTAGGAGCTGCTCTCTTCTCTCTAAATCAGTACCAAGTCCTTGGTGATCATGGCATCTGTTCGGTAGCACATGCTGATTTTTGTGGGATTCATGAGATCCCAGTTCCAGCCGGTGATGTCCATTAAAGGTTCTATGGCAATTTCCAAAGGAGTCAATTTCAAGTTACATGTCATGACTAAGTGCTTTTTTTGACTCGTTTTCTGCCTGTGTAACCCCTTCTCTGCAGTGTCATTTGCAGTATTCTTCATGACCCTTCCTAAACTTCTGTGTTCTTGAGCAGTTTTTCAACCCACTCCCTCCCCCCAAACCAAGGGTGGGTGCACTGCAGTGGTGGATGAAGTGATTGCCATATAATGAACAGAACAGAGGAGCATATCTTCCTAGAATCCCAGCACCTGGAAAAAAAAATCACTAAAATCACCACAGCTGAATAGAGTGAAAAAAAAGAAGGGGAGAAAGGGGGAGAAAGAGAAATACATACCAGGTTAATCATCAGGCAAAAGCTTAAGCAACAGTTCCTGTACTCCCCTGACCTGTCAGAAAAAGAAAATTTTATAGAGTACTCTGTTACAAGAGTCTTGATACAATGGAAAATGATTACGCAACATGTGTACCATTAAATGATGCTGTATCTGCCACAAGCGAGAGTTGTTATCCATGTAGCGCTCCTCTGGGTAGAGTTGCCACATGAGAGGTAGTTGGGAGGTAAGAAGGTGACTTGGCCTAGCTGCGTCACCTAAGGGAACCTGAACTTGCTGGACTCGTGCCCTTAGGTGACTTGTCTCCTAATGGAAAGGAATGATCAAAAAAAAAAAAAAAAAAACCAAAGACTTCAGAATATTGAGGTTAGGCAGAAACCATGTTATTTGAAAGCAAAAATCAAAGAAAGAAGCAAAATGAAAAGTTACCTCTTCCACGACAGCCACCCATGTGCGCTGGTATTCGTCGCGGTAGATACCCTCTTGATGAACCCAGAGGTGATCGGGTGGAGCCCCCACATCCTCTCTTGCCATTCTGGGCTTTGGGTTCCAATTCTATCCCTGCTTTTCTCCACCTAAGCCTGCAGTACCCGCGCATAGGACACAGGTGTGACTGTTTGGGTTTGAATGAACTCACCAATGAGCAAGGTGACCTTAGGCTAGCAACCACCAACCAGAACCAAACCTCATACATGTCTATTTGCACAGCCTAAATAGAACCAAGGCCATCTGAAACTTTCTTCTAGACTGAAAGTGACACTGAAGTGACACTTAGGCAGAGCCTCAGGTAATGTTAACTCTTGACCTCAAAGCGTTCAGGACTCTAGGTGAGTTCTGTAGAAATGTAGAAGGAGCACTACAGGAGGCTAGGCACTGGTTTCACATTCTTAGCATTCACAAAGCAGTGTCAGGCAAAATGTAGTTAGCAATAGAAAAGCACAAAAGTGTGCCTAAGGACACATGACTTTGGCAAAAAGCAAAACACACTTGTATGCCATGCTCCATAGATAGGTAAAAGACACTTCCAAGCAGTTTCCATTTTAAAAATGGTAAGATTCTCCACCCTCTGTATGGCTTTCTAAATGGAAATTAAAAGTTTGTTTTAAAGGCAGAGGGAAT